TGGAATTATTACAGAGTAGAATTAACCTTAATAACGTGAATATAGTAGAGCTTTTGGGACCTTCATTTGCTGATGGGGCACAACTCAAAATGGGAAGAAACAGCTGCAAACATTCACTAATAATGAGAACATGGAATGTACAAAATATGAATCCAGGAAAATTAGGAATTGCCAAAAATGAAAGGAAACTTAAAAAGATTGATCTCCCAGGCTTTAGTGAGCTGAAATGGACTGGTATTTCCTATTTTGAATCAGGCTATCATACTATGTTGGGAATGACAGATTGAAGAGTAATGGCATCCCATTCATCATCAACAGCATTTCAAGATGTATCCTGAAGTAAAATGCTGTCAGTGATAGGATACTATCCATACACTTACAAGGAAGACCTGCTAACTCTATTACTCAGATTTACACATAATCTACTAAGGTCAAAGATGAAGATATTGAAGAGTTTTATCAATTTCTGCAGTCTGACAGTGACCAAACATGAAATCAAGATGTATTGATAATTCCTGGAGATTGGAATGGGTAAGGGAGCTCTGGTGGTGTAGTGCCTAAGGCATTTGACTGTTAACCAGAAGGCTGGTGGTTCAAAACCACCATCCACTCCTCTGAAGGAAGGTTGGGCAATCTACTTCCATAGTGATACCACTTCAGAAACCTGAGGAGGGGTCTCTATGAGTCGGGTCTGACTAGATGGCAGTGAATGAGTGAGTCAGTGGAAATGGTAAGTGGGAAACAAAGGAGAATTGTCAGTAGTTGGAAAATATGACCTGGTGATAGAAGTGACACTGGAGATCATATTATAGAATTTTGCAAGACCTGTGATGTATTCATTGCAAATACCTTTTTATAAAACCATAAATGGTGATTATACATGCAGACTTAGCCAGATGGAATTCACAGTAACAAAATTGACTACATCTATGAAAGAGGAGCTGTGGTAGCATAGTGACTAAGGCACTTGACTGCTAACCAGAAGGCTGGCGGTTCAAACCCACCAGCCACTCCATGGAAGGAAGAAGGGGCAATCTACTTCCGTAGTGATACTGCCTCGGAAACCCAAGGAGGGGGCGGGGGCTATGAGTCGGGTCCGACTGAAGGGCACATAACAACAACAACAACAACAACGTGGAAAGAGGTGATGGAAAAGCTCAATATTCTCAATCAAAGCGAGGCCAGGAGCTGACTGTGGCACACGCCATCAGTTGCTGATATGCAAGTTTAGTGCGGGATGCAGCGCACTCAGGTCACAGACCTGATCTGATGTGAGAGGAGTTTCCCGGGGTGTGGCCTGCATCACCTTTTATCTCATAAGTGATAAAAGGAGAGAGAAGCAAGCAGGGAATGATGGACCTGATTGCCTCCAAGAAAGAATAACCAGGAGCAGGGAGCAGAATGGCTCGTTTGGAACTGCAGTCCCCCGGCGCTGAGAACCTTCTAGAGCTAGCAGAAGATTAGTGCAAATGGAGATCTGCAAAGGAGGTTGAAAGGAGACAAGGATTTCCCCAGAAGCCACAGGATGAGAAAGCCTTCCCTAGAGCTGGGGCCCTGAATTCAGACTTTAGCCTCCTAAAGCGTGAGAGGATAAATTTATGTTTGTTAAAGCCATTCACTTGTGGTATTTCTGTTATAGCAACCAAGACCAAATCCACTGCCATTGAATCAATTTTGACCCATAGCAAGCCTTGTAGGGTTTCCAAGGATGTAAATGTTTACAGAAGGAGACTGCCTTATCTATAGCAGCACTAGATGACCAAGATACTAAGTATTTTTTTTAATATATAAACACATATTATGTTAAAATTACAACATTCTTCTATCATTAAATGTCATATGCAACTGAAAATATTGTATGGAATTAAAATATTCATAGTCAAAATAGATTAGGAAATCAAGAAAATAAAATGCCCAGTTTCATGGCAATAGTTGGATAGAAAATTGTTATTCTATTTTTGACATTTTTCTTTACCAACATAATCACCTGTCTCTCTGCTAGCCTAGCATTTCTTTCTGGCGGCACTGGCATTTAAGTTCTGATTATCAAATCACTGCTTCCACCCAGATATCACTTTGTTTTCTAATCTTAAATCAAAATGAAGCACTGTTTCTCACAATATTTTATTTATTTTCTCTTTTGTCTACTTATTAGTATAATTTATGTATTTCTGTATTCATTTTGAACTTCATGTATTTGTGAAAACTGATTCTGAAAGACTTTATAGTCAATAAAACAGAATTAAGCACAGTATTTAATCATCCTTTCTGTTTTTCCATGATTATTTTTAACCTATTGCTACATCTTGAAGCAATAACATGTCTGCAGGACTGTGGGTGTTCCTTCCAAGAATTCAATGTTATAATTAGAATTTAATTATTCAGTAGTATTTGCTGCATTTCTCTTTCATGCAGAAGAAAGTGGGTTTAGGAGACCTTCAGTGGTCTCATTTTTTGAGGTGAGACCAAGACATAAAGCAAATCATAGATAATTTGCAGTCAACTGGGATGACAAATGGAAAAAGTGTATAAAGGAAATACGTACATGTAAGATAAAACATAGCAAATGCAAATGGATTTCTACATTCATTTAAATATAAGGTAAAATATCAGTAACATAGTACTGTAAAGAACTAAGGGAATCGTTAGTGAAATGATGATCCTAGAGAGTTTATTATTGGTAAATTTTGGCTCATGACTTGTGTTTTCTTCATACCAGACTACATCTATTTATATATATTTGTAATTGGTCTTAAACACTGCTGTCCAACTTGGTGAGACATTACAAAAAGAAATATGTGATTTAAATATTCTGCCTTTGCATTTAGTTCAATCAGTTCTAAGAGCAAGACTTTTAACTAGAATTAAAATAAATAAATACATACATACATACATAAAGATTTTAGAAAAAGTGTACATTCCAAATAAACATATGCAAGCTGAACTGTTGATGTTGTTATGTGCCCTCGAGTGAGACCCGACTCATAGCGACCCCTCCTTGGGTTTCTGAGGTGGTATCACTATGGGAGTAGATTGCCCATCTTCCTTCTGAGGAGTGGCTGGTGGGTTTGAACCACCAGCTTTCTGGAACTACTGGTTTAAAATACAGTATTTAATCTTCTTTTAAAAATAAACGGACTGTATGTGGAGACATGTACTTGTCTTTAGCAAAGCTAATTTATGAATTTGGGGAAATGCCACAACTCTTCTGAGCTTTCCCATTAATGACCCATTTAGAAACCTTACTGGTCCCAATTGTGATTAGCGATTTGTGCAATTAGCATTCAACTTTTAAAGTTTCAAAAGAATGTTCCTTACCTTTCTTACTACTTTCTGGCAACATGAATTTTATACTTTATTGGGGAAAAATCTGATTTATAAATTTAAAAATGTGCATACATATACCAATTTCAAATTCATGTAAGAACTTAAAGGATACAGTTGCCAAGAATAATCTCAGACAGTCCCTTTTGATTTTACAAGCCATTTTTGGTAATAATTGTCCAAATTGTAATACCCAAATCCACTTCCATTGAATTAATTCCAATTCAAAGAGACCCTATATAGCAGAGTAAAACTGCCTCATAAGGTTTGCAAACCTGTTAATCTTTAAAGAAGTAGTCTGCCCCGTTTATCTCCCATGGAGTGGCTGGTGGATTTGAACCACTGACCTTTTGGTTAGCAACCAAATACTTTAACCACTATGGCACCAGAGCTCCTAAATTATGATAAACCAAAAACAAAACAAACAAACAAAAAAAACACCTCACTGCCATTGGCTCGATTCCAATTCATAGCAACCCCCATTGGGTTTCCAAAGTTGTAACTCTTTATGGAAGTAGATCTCCCCATCTTCCTTTTGTGGAGTAGCTAGTGGGTTTGAACTCTTGACCTTCTGGTTATCAGCCAAATGCCTTATCTATGATGCCACCAGAGCTCCTCAAATTATAATCGCATGTGCAGTTAATATACAGAAGTATATGTTGATGCAAGTATGTTATTCCTTTAATGAGAATAAAAAATTGCCATTTTGTCTCCTAGTTAAAATTATCTGTGAATTCTGTACATAGTAAATCATCAGTCCAGCCAACACCAGTAGCATAGAAAATGTGGGCTTAATGGATAAAGGTTTATAGTACTTTTTAAATACAAAGTAAAGAATGTACATGGCTTTACTTTTTTTTTTTTTTTTAACAAACCGTAAACAGTCATAATGAAAACTGCAGTACGTCTATTTCCACTCAGGACAGAGTAAAATTGCCCCATAGGTTCTCCATGGCTGTAAATCTTTATGGAAGCAGATTGCACATTTTTTGGCTGTTCATAATAAGCAAATACAATGGAATTTTTTAGTTTATTTTCCATTCTTAAAGGACCTTTTATCAATTATTTCAGTACTACCTTAACAATTTCAAAGCATATAGAAAATATTTCTCTAGGAATGAATTAATAAATACCTCTGATTTCCTATTAATGCACTTAATTTCCTGTTTATCAGCTGTATAATTAATACCATAAGTTTTCTGTCAGGAAACTCAATTTTCAAGTATTATGTTAAATGCATAAAATATTTAAAAATGGAAGCTTCTTTCAAAGGATTACTTTGATGTTAATTGTCTTCTCAAATCACTGACTCTTGTGTTTTTCGACAGTTTATTTGTGAAAGACAGCTTTGAAATGTGAAGACTACAGTATTGAAAAAAGTGGAATATGTGGAATTAACATAGCAGACTTAAATGTGTGTTTTAGTGAAATTGCTGTTTTCTTATCTCTGTTTCTGAAAAATTAAAAAACAAACCTTTTTTTCCGCCTGTAATAAAATATAAGCTCTAGGCATTGCCTCAGAGAATACATAGTTACCCAAATAGAGTTCACCATATCTAACCATTTTGTGTTGAATGAGTTGTCAGTAGACCTTATTGTATGTAATTCATGTATTTGTAAATAAGATTATTTACAATCTTATATCGTAGTGACATTCAGAATCTTTTCTTTTGCAGCCATTTCGTAGAGTGACGTTTTCTGTTGTGAGTCAGCCTCAGGACCCACATCAGGGGTCACTGCAGAGTTGCTATGACAGCGGGCTGGAGGAGTCAGAAACACCAAGCAGTAAGAGTTCATCAGGGCCAAGACTGGGTGCCCTTCCACTCCCAGAGGACAACTATGAAAGGACCACGCCGGATGGCAGTGTTGGTGAGGCAGAGCATATGGAAAATGGTAGGGGCAAACACAACATCCACACACATAATCACACTAGTGAGCCATGATAAGTAGACTCACGAAGGTCAGTGTAAAGCCAAAATAAAATAGCTGACACTAAAAGTATTTGATTTTAAATTATAAAGATTTGCTAAAATACAAAAATGCCAAATAAAGGAACATAACTATGCCAATAAACTTTGCCAAATTTGCACCATCATTTTAAAACAACTTGTCAGAAATAAACTTGCTTACGAATAATCAGAGTAGTAACTGCTGTGAAAGAAGCAAATTAGTGCACAATTCCTGAACAATAGCAACTGAGAAAGGTCACGTGTTACTGTTATCTTCAACTCATTTTTGTCATGCAACTATTTCTTCAATTGTCCACTGCTAGTGAAAGGAAATGACAATAAAAACACTTTGCTCAACTTTTTTTTTTGCCCCTAGGTATTTAGAAAGCCATTTTCAAACCCCTCTTTTTGAGGAATAGCTGAAATGCAGAGAAGGGAAACATTATTTCCTTGTTCTTCATAGTTCACCGTAAATGGCCATGAGAACCCCCTCTTATTCACATATGTGGTTTCTGTCTTTTTTGTGCAAGGAAAAAGAACGAGAGAAAATTATATTATTTTATATTCTTATTATGTTATAAAGCAGTTCTCATAATTACTACAACAATTAAACTTGTATTTTCCTTTAAGTTGTAAAATTAGTTTACAAATAGTATTTATAAGACTTCCTTATTTGTTTATATTTCCATAGAAAAAGGGTTTATTTTCTGAGGAATAGGTTGCTTCCAAATACTGAAATGATAATGTTCTTACTAATTTCATTATTATTTCAAGTATAACAAGAATTATGGTTATACGTGAAAGGCAGTGGAATCACACACATTGTCTCTTTGGTGAAAATTAGGGATGGATTTGAGATGTCCCGCAGGTGAAATAAGACATTCTATTTTTGTTTTTCATCATATACCAGTTTCCGTAGCGATAATATACAAGTAGAGCATATTAAAATAGGAGAAATTCAAACTCGGATTATTTTCTTGCATAGTATAACACATCTTTAGAAGTTAGTATATCGTAACTGACTCTGAGTGAAATTATTGCTAAACTAAATCATGTTAAATAATTATTTTGTTTATATTGTTACCTGGGTGAGTAGAAATGATCTCAGGGTCCGATGATCCATATACGTCTTGATTAATTATCCAGAGTTTAAGTCGCAGTTTGCCTTATGGCCATGAAGCCATGCTTATCTGTGTGTATGGCGGTGTGTGCTTGTATGCATGGGAGTGAGTTTATTGTGGTTTTGAAGATTTAACTTTATTTTCTTTTAGTAATTTTTAAAATGAGTGTAAGAATTTTCATATGAATTGCAATATTTATGAAACAGCGCAGGCAAAAATGTTTGAAATGATTTACACAAAAATAATGAAAATATGTTTAAAATACTGCAATGACATAGCTATATAAAAAGTCAGGATTAATTTAGGGACTTTTTTTCCTCTGAGATTACTTTTTGATGATCATATATAATTTTCTTTGTATGTAAAACATATTATGACTATAAACAACACGATACATAATAAATATTTTTTGTAGGCCAGTTTCATTAATAGAAAGGGCTTTGTATTTAAATTATTCACATATTCCAATATTGTTTTCTGTTGTTTAGTGAGTTTATGGGGATTCAACACATTTAAAATAAGAAAAAAAAAGATGAATTATTAAAACATAGTTATATATCACAGACATATGTCTGTTACTTCTAAGGAAACATAACATCATGGAAAACATAGCAGGTGAGCTTGTTAAGAGAATAATAATTTAACTGAGAAAAATTTCCCAAGGAAGATGTGTAGTTGCTTTTTGTTACCACGTTTTAAGTCCTGTCAATAGCAAGGACTATAATATTGAAAGTGATTTTTCCTGACTTTATATGTGACCGACACATTTGAAATTCAGGGTTTATATAACCATTTGTCATCTGCTCGCTGTGATTTGTGTTATCCCTGATCTATAGGTAATGACAGGAGGAGATGTGTTGCACTTTGCATGATCCCAATGTAGCAGTTGACATTTGAGTAAGAATTTTATTGGGTCCAAGTTTTCAGACTACTCATCTAACTGTAAAGTGTAATTGTATTGCTTCAATCCTGGTAATTTCATCTTCAATATTAATGGATCATTCTGACATAAATAGCACTGGAATTAAAACCTGTCAAGTATTCATTTGTCATATTTAATTGGAATCCAGGTAATCTGCGGTGTTTTGGTTGGATAGGTTTTAATCAGCATTTGGACTAGATATTCATTTGGATTTTTCTTGAAAATACTATTTTGGATGTTGTCCTTGCTCCTAATTATTATTACCTCAAATATTTACCTTCAATTTTCACATCTATGAATCAATACCATCATCACTAAGTGTGTTAAGTTTCATTGTAGAATTTAGAAGATAATTTCCAATGCAATAACATATAACATTCTAATGTCATGATACAAACCAAACAGGAGTTGAGACAGTTAGTGATAAAAAGAAGTTATCACAGATGATATTACAAGGGGAAACTGAAACCCAGGAAAATTTAATAAGCAGTGAAATGCATTTTTGTTATATAGAAGTTTTAATATATGTTTTGTACTTCAGCAAAATAAACACAAATTCATTAAAAATTTTGTGTGAGGATTCGCATTATAACATATTTTACCCTGTAACCCAGTCCAACTGGTACTGAATGAAGAATGAGATTTTATTTTCTAATTAGCCTAAGAAAGATAATATACTGTAAGGCTAAGCACAGCTGCTTACAACCTGAATACAATAATGTGAAATAAGATCTACCATTTTAATAGTTCCAGTCAGGGGTGTTTATATCACTTGGGGCCTTTAGAAAGTAAAACAATGATCCTAGCATTTTTTAAAATACTATTTAAAAAAGTATATGTGATATATATATATATATATATATATATATATATATATAAAATCTTTAATTTATTATTACCAACCTTATGGTAATTATATCAGGCTGACCCTTTCATATGATTGAGAAATTATTATTGTTTCATTAAAATAAATTTAATGGAATAAAGTGTTTTATAATATTAAGTTCATGATGGAAATTTGGATAATGATAAAATATTTGATAACAAAAATGATAAAATAATTAGAACCTACTATATTGAGAATTAGGAGCTCTGGTAGCATAGTGGCTAAGGCACTTGACTGCTAACCAGAAGGCTGGTGGTTCAAACCCACCAGCCACTCCTCAGAAGGAAGATGGGGCAGTCTACTTCCAGTGATACTGCCTCAGAAACCCAAGGAGGGGTCGCTATGAGTCGGGTCCGACTCGATGGCACATAACAACAACAACAACATATTGAGAATTTGAGTGAAACCAAGGATAGGTGTAAAAGCACTATCATATTGAGGGCAAATATGGACTATGGAAGAGCTTGCCATTATCTTAATTATGAAGTGGTCTTCATACTGCGTGGAATGTGATGTAACAGTGTCTTTAGGTCTCACTGTATATACGTTCAATAATTATTTCCAAAGGCGCTCCGACTCATCTTTTCAAGGCCAGTATGTCCTTGGCTACGTGTGTCTTGATCAGATAATGGGAGTACACGCTCAGCTGCAGACAACCACCCATTTGGCCTGTACTCCAGCATTGCCATCAATATTGGGTAGGTCATTTACTCCTCCTGGGTCTGCTCCTGATCATCTGGAAGGAAGTTAAATTAACTCTGAAGTCTTACCCAAACACAAAAATCTGTGATTCTCTGTTCACATCGATCTTTCTCCTCTCTTTTGCTCTGCAGAAAAGAAGCTTGTATGTCTGTTAGTGAGCTGGTGAGTGAATTTGATTACACGTTATAATGTGGGCAGGGCAGAAGTTATTCTAGGGCTCTCCTCTCAACCCACATAACATATGTGCTTTCTAATAGTAGATAATGCAGTTATTACATAAATTAGAGTGGACTGAGTCAAATGGTGTGATATCTGGCCATGTGGGTGGAAAGAGTGGCACCACAGCAGGCCAGTGTGGGAGAGAGTTTGAGAACTTCCCTCAAATGACACTGTGCAACAACCATCGCTAGATCTGATCTGACCCTGAGTGCAATCCCTTTGGAAAACACTCATTATAATTAAGACAACTCACAATAAAATAGGCACATTTACTTTTCTTGCTTGATAATGTAAAGCAGGGTCAGATCAGAGTGAGCAAAGGATAAAACGATATATATTTTCCTATAGATAATTTATCCTGATAGGAAAAAAACATAGAAATAAGTCAGAATCGAAAATAAGAGTTAAGCAATTACACGGCTCTTTTAATGAGCTCAGAGATCTGACCACTCTGCATTCCTGGTTAATTTAATATGCCTCTTGACTTTCTCATATCTTTAAAAACACCTATGATTTTATAGATTAATAAGATCGAATTCCCCACTTCTGCAATTTCTTGCATGTTCAGACTTATAAAATGTAGGTTCAGTTATTGTTGTGTTTGTTGTACACGTTTTGAATCTTGTGGTTCTTCACTCCACATGTTTTAACCAGTGAAATGATGTAGAGTACATTCTCCTTGAGAATTAAAACACAGATCAGTCCTTCAGGAATCTATTTTATATCTGCCATGGACTTTTCACATTGCTTTCAGATATAAATGGCAGAATATTTGAAATTTCTTTGGGAATGAGCCACCATGTTTTGTTATGGCCAATAGCAAGGAGAATGGAGACTTAACTCAAGTTTTCTGTATGGGGAATAAAAGACTTCTTTAATGTTCTCCCACCTCCATAATTTTTAAGCAGCCTTCTGTATGTTCACTGTTATCTGGATGCTTTTGGTTTATCTAGATGCTTGTGCAGCAAGGATCTCTTTCATCTTTCCAAAGATGAAATACTTAGGAATAAGCACAAGACTTCAAAAACAAACGCCTCACGTAATTTTATTTTTTCCTATAGAAAGAGATGAACATACTTTGCTAAGATTCATGA